CCCTATGCTGAAGAAATGGCACCTTCCCCGGAATGTACATTATGCTCTAGCATAATGTTCTGTGTATGAAACAGTTCCACTTCAGTATTACTGAAACTGCTGCACTGAGATAATGCAAAATTAGCTGTGTCCATTTCTACAGCCTGTCGTTTTGCAGCTGTCAGACCTATTTAGAGAGGGATTACTCCCCCTGGTGCCCTGCTGCCTGAGGCACAGAAGAGAAGGCTTAACCACTCTGGAAAGTCCTGTAGCTTATATATCTTCTCTCCTTTTTTCTAGGTGATGAAAAAGGAAAACTCCCCTCCTGAAATATTCTCAGTTGGTATATGCGACTTGAAATGATACCAAGCTTTCTAATGTCTGCCATGGCCTTTGTTCCTTGAACAATCAGAGTAATATGGTCAACTTCAACCACTGTGGGAGCGGGTGCTGTCTCAAATTTGAGTATAATGGTTTGGCACCTATGCCTCAGCTAGTTAATGAATTTTGGGCTGTTAATAATGCCTCTGACAGCAGACCAAGTGTGCTTAGTTGACAAGGATAAAACAAACCCGTCTGGATGTGATCCTGGGCAATATGCTCTAGGTGACCCTGCTTGAGCAGGGAGGTTGGACTAGATGATCTCCAGAGGTCCCTTCCAACCTAAACGATTCTGTGATTCTGTGATTCTGTGAAAACTGCTTCGGAAAACTAATCTCTTAAAGTCAGGCCAAACTAAGTAAAGTTGGCCTCTTTCTAGCTTACAATGGCACTATAAGTTAGACATGCTGTAGGCTAAAACTAAATGTTTAATTATATCCATGCAACCCACTTGTCTTCACATTACATTCTACTAACATTTATGCAAATATCTACTGTTGTCCATACATTTGGACAGCTGTAACAGATTGACCGTTTATAAAAAATTCTGTTGAACCACTCTGACTTTGCAAGCAAACAGAAGATTAAAAAAAAAAAAGAAAATTCGTTTTATTCAGAAAAATCAGCCAGATGTGAATGAGAAGGCACTAGAAGAAGCTATTTACAAATAGATCTATTAGTTTTACCTTATCAAAAGAACAGCATTTATAATATTTCCTAAGGATTCTACTATAACTTAAGTTGCAAAACTGTTGCTCTTATAACCTGCCATCTCTACAGACTCATAACTTTCCAAAAGGTTTCTCCTTTAGGGCAGGTATAATTTTCTCAGGCCTTGGTTTAATATGAGCGGGGGGAGGTTGTTTTGGAATACAGAGCAAAATCTTTTCATCTATTTTCAAATACAGTAAGAAGCAAAATAAAGTGTTAAAGAATAAAAATATTAATCAAATAAACATATGTGGTTTTCCCCATTGAAGAGAACTACATCAAAAAAGCAGTACTGACAGCTGGACTAGCTGCAATTTGTACTGAGAACCAATTTAATTAATTGATTGGAGAAATATTATTGCAAATTGAAAAAATCAGTCAATCAAACCTACCCATTAAGAAACTAAGTGTCAACTTAGGGACATACTTAGGTTCACATGAACAGCTGCTTAACTGCATGCACACAGATTTTAATAAGGATATAATGTTTATTGTTCAGACTGCTAAACTATATTTCTTCAAATTTAGGATGCTTGTTAGATCTCTCTGGGAAATAATACTAAGTAAGTTAATCAATGGACCATTCAGGTGACTTCTCTCATCCCCCATCAGGGTGCAGTACAATAGGCAGCTGAAATTTAAAGTTAGCCTTTAGTACTACTAACTTAGGTATGCTCCCTTTTCTCCTGACTGTGAGATGCCTTCTCCACAGAAAGGCTAAAGATAAGCTTCTGCCTTTTTTTTTTTTTTTTTGGGGGGGGGAGGGAATACAATTTAAATATGTACATGTATAAGGCTACCAGGACTTCCTGGATCATCAGATAAATCTTTTGCTATTTTGAGCATCATTTTGTATTATCTCATTTATAAACTGAAGAACTCGGACCTTAAAAGTTTTTTTAACTCTGATTTTGTGATGGATCATGAGAGTGTATCAGAATGCTACTGTTCTCACTGTTGAAGTCTTTCTTCTAGTTTCTAGACTAAATTCATTCATTCATTCAATTTATTCCAACTGATTTTGGTTCAGTTCTTTAGTTTACATAATGTTGTTTTCCATGCATGATTCTTTCTGATCAGCACGTGAGAGCAGTAATATCCCCTGTTATTTTATTCGTTATTACTTACCACCCTTCCCTTTTATTACAAAGTAATATAGAAGATTACTTTGTGTGACAAGCTCAAACAACATGAGATAATTTGGTCTTTTCATGCCACTGGGGTATCATTTCAAGATGCTTAGATAAGACATAGGAGCTGTTTAAAGGATTCAGGAGTGGGAGTGACGAGAAAGAATTGGATGATACTCAAGATTAAACATGAAGAGACATTTTCTAACAATAAGGGTTTATGTGGCTCTGATTATGCTGAGACATTTCCTTAAACCCCTTGTAAGCAGGACTATGTTCCTCACTTCATAATGAACTGTAGAGAAAAATATTGCACTTGGGGTATGGGAGTGGGACTGAATATAATGCAATAAGATTTTTAAAGCTCTTATTCCTATAACTTTTTTCCAGAGTGAGGCCACAGGCATCATGTGAGTTTCCTCTCCAACATGACCATAGTGGCAACAACCTGCAGTAAATAAATAAGTAAGAAAATAATAAGTATCTGCGAGATATTGGAGAATAGGATGGAGAAACAGTAGAGAGTGTCCTCATAACTGCAATATGATCAATGTATCCAAGATAAAATCTCCCCTCTAAGTACCTTTGAATTCATGAAATATCTGAATGTACTGCTCATCTGGTGAAGTTCCACCTTCACTCGTAAGAATTCAGTTCTTCCCTCCGTAAGCAAATCCACAATTCTCAAATGAACATGCCTTATGGGACCCCAGCTCTGCTCCTTCCAGACCTAAGAAGCAGTCTGTCCTTTCCAATACACTCTTCACCACAGGGAGTTATGTAGCTGGATAGTTTCCTCACTGGCACTCTCCAAAGCTCATGCCAATTATGGACCATCCTCCAGTGGGCTTTGCCCATCATGGCAATGAGCAAGTTGAGCATAAGGTGAGTGGCAATAATGGCAAAGGCTGAATAAGCAATGACATATGTGAAGGGTAGGTGCACTTCATAGTTGGCAGGTCCATCAAGATAGTGAGGAAGAGCTCAAAGATGCTAAAAAGTGCATGAGGTAGTTGCAGAAGTGGTCCCGTTCATCAGGATCCTGTGTCTGGAAGATGATGTAAAAAGCTAACAGAAAAAGAGAGGAGGAAACCAAACCAAACCAAAACAAACCAAAACAAAACAAAACAAAAACAAAGAAACAAACAAAATCACAACAAAAACGGTGTTATCATGGCCCTGGCCAGCATAATCTGATTGTCTCCATAAACTACAGCATCAGATTTCAGCCCAAACAATAGAACAAGGCAGCCATAATTCCTTTGTATGTCTACAGCCTCTTCAGTGAGCTCTTCTTAATGTCTTTAAGGCTCCCAAGTGCAGCATCCTTCTGTTGCGCTCTGATGGAACAATATTTTGTTACATTGTATGAAGTAACATGCTGATGGTGATGCAAGAGCTGAGAAGTTCTCCCTGGATCATCAAAGATCCAGTCTCATCACATTTTCCCTTGGGCAGCTGCATTTCAGTAGCTGAGTGGTCCCATATGCAGGTAATCAATCAAATTCTTCAGTCCAGAGGTGATAGGGTGACAATAGTTTTAGGAAAGCTGAATGCTATGCATGTCCTCACCATAATGTTGCCTTCTATCCCTGCCGGTTTGAATGGAGTGAGCCCCTTATTGTTGGGAATCTGGTCTAGGGCTTCCAGCTCTGTTATACGTCTCATAAGAGAAGAAGAGACTGTACATCTGGGAGGCAAAGGTCTTATTGGGCTGAAGAACCAGGATACGGAGAACATATTCCCTATAGAGGTCAGATAGAAAATGAGATCTTCTGTGAAACAATAAGAAAACAAAACTCATCTCAGAAATGACAGACTCTAATGTAGTCCCCACTCAGCTCCAGTAAGAGAGCGCCATTTGTTAGCACTCTGTACCCCGCCCATGTGCTACAAACACATCCCCTTGAGAACATAATGACAGCAGCTGCCAACTAAAGGCCTTCAGTTTACAAAAATAAATCATCGAAAGGGTAGTTTTACTGACCTGGAGTGGGTGCGATAGGCTATCAGTGCAAAAGCTTCTTTCATTTCTGATTTAGGAATAGGAATCTGGAGCAGAGCATTTCTCTAGCTAGACAGCTCTAGGATCATAGCTTCTCCAGCACAGATTATTTTCTCCCCCAGCATTTCCATTGGTATAGTTTATAACTTTGAAATTCCAGTCTTTTGCATTATTTTTCATGCACACAGTGTTGGGCCTTGCCATAGGGGACAGACTTGACTAAATTGAAACACTTTGTAACAGCATGGAGCAAATTCACAAAGAATTTTGAAATTCAGAAACTGCTTTGGACCTACAGCTTTAAAATGACTGAAAACGCAGCAAAGCCCTCAAAAACAGGGCTATACAGTCATGGTTAAGAGGGTGCCATAGAGGCAGCAGTGACGATAGTCCGCACAACCAGAGTTATAATTTATAACACATTTTTTCTCAGGCTTTCATCTTTATGCTTGTTAAGGAGACAGGAGTAGAAGCAGCCTTCCCTCTTGCTTTTAAGGGGATGGAGAGGATGATTGATTCATATAATGAAACATAAACTTTATAGCTGAACTGAAGGATAACCAAGAGAAGACCTAACTTCGTACAAACATCAGAAAGGACAACCAAGAAGGGTGAGGAATGGTTTATACTAATCTTAACTTCTATTTATAACCTTAACTCCTTCTTATGATCACTGTTAACAGGGCAAAATGGAACCTGAGTGGATGTACCTACTTAGCACTCA